AAATGTCTAAGATGTCTTAATCCATTGCAGCGAGTTGTGAATCACTAAAAGRTAACTATTTCAATACAAAACTTCTAAAACAGATTAAACCGTTTAATGATACCTCTAGCAAAATAAACCGACTGATAAACGTATTTATTAATAAGTAAAATACCTGATGATTACAAATATAACTTTGAACGAATAAAAAAATGGATGACGATTTACCAAATTTCAAAGAGTCTGACACAAAAAGAACAAAAGGTAAACTAGATTGGCAAGAATAAACTCACAACGACTTGGACGAGCTCGTCGAGGGATCAACGACATCAACATAGTGGGCATCAACGTCTGCAGTGCCTTTGCCTGYAATGTATTTCTTATTTAAAATTGTCATTTTATTATTAACATAACTTATTAATTGACAAGTTACACACATCAGCCACGTCCTCATACGATTATGTGTATATATAGAGTATCAATTACAGCAAGACTCGAAGCCAAAGTGCTATCGCTGTTTTCGACTGTATTTTGATTTGCTTGAAATGAAAACTAAAAATCTATTTGATTTCTTCAATGGGAAAGATACCGTCCTCAGCAATTTTCTTCATAAGAGAGACATGTGCATTGCTGTTAATGACCCTGCTTTTCAAAAAGTTGAACCAAATGCTGAGTTACATTAAATATACACAACATGCATGTTAAAGAGAATGTAAAGCGCAAACCTTTTGAGCGAAGACTTTTGCCTTATGAAAAGATGACGTGTGATGTCGGCCACTACACAAAATCAGTTGTGCAGCGTGTTGTTTCACCAATGCTACCCCTCATTGTCCGTCGACGAGAACACGAAGGACAAGAAACTTGACAATTTCTATCTTTTCCCCTAGAGGACGAAAATGGGATGCACTATGCAACACGCTATAGAAACTAAAACTTGCCAAGGAGGGTTCAAAGAAAACGCTCTTTGGAAAAGATGTCCAGAATTTTCCAGTCACAGCATCCAAACGATGGATACTGCATTCTCTTCGTCTATGCATCGACAAGCAAACCCAAAGTKCAATGTTTTCTTTCAATTCTCAATGTTTTTCCGGATGGATCCGTAAGAAATAGTGCCGATGTCTTGGAGTAGAGCGATTGTCAGAACTCGGAGAAATTAGCGAATACTCAACTGTAAAGCCAGTCCGTCAAAGATCTACACTAGCCATAACGTAAAGGTGACGACTACATCACTGTGGTCAGATGCTGGCCTATCTAACCGCCATATTATGTCTGGCCTATATTGTCTCTGGCCACAGGAATGAGAAAACTCTCCACCATTATAGCCTTCTATCGTTTCAGCAACTTCAGGTCTGTTGCAAAGTGCAATCCACTGCTCTCACGTACAATCGGCAGATAACGTCTTATCGTCAACATTCAAGTTTCTCTGAGAGAAGCATAATTCCGGCTCACTCTGATAATATGTACGCAATGCATAAAGAGCTAGCGACTTTTGACTCGATGTTTTATTTGATCAATAATTATTTTTCAAGTCTGCCTCCGTCTTTCCTCGCGATAAGCATCTCGATACAGTTTGTTGACTTAATATACGAGTTTTCATTGGCTACTTTGGCCGAGCTATTGTCAAGGTCAATGTAATGAGAAGATAGTTTTGATCAAAACAGATATATATGCTAAGAAGAATGCACKAAAACCCGATTTGAGGCTTTAAACCAATTTATTCTGTGAAAATTTCGGGGTTTTCACCCTTTAYAAGCAAATGTACTCTCGATATATACTATATAATTAATATAAATTGAAGAAAAAGCCACACAACTTGTAACTTGATTRCTACTCTTTGTTATTATTTATTATTATATACTATATATATAACAGTCTGCTAGTGGAGAAAATGTCGATTCTTTCTCGTAAATAACGAATAGTAGCGTCGCATTGAATTACGTTTTTGATGATTTTTTTTCTACTAGTGTAAATGCGCATATYCAAACTTTTAAACACCTTGCTACGAATCTCTCRKTATGCTCGTCTTTTCACTTTCGTTTCAGTTTCATGGACGACAAAAACAGTATAGGAATAAGAAAACGAATACGAATCATTAGATTTATAAGATGAATTAAAAGCAGGTTTTTTTGCCGTTGATTTCATGCGAGAACGCGTGATGATGCTCCTTTTCTCAGAAGGAATTATATATATTATATATTTGACTAATTCTTTTTAAACATCATTTCCCATATTCAYGATTTAGCCTAGTAAAATATGCTGTACTTGCCAACAAAGTTTATAAAAGCAGCATTTTTCATAACTGATAAAAGCTCTTTCTCAGTTGCTGATATYAGCGAAGACAATTACAACGAYATTTCATTCTATACTTCGTTTGAAAGTTAATGGTAWTTTTGTCAGCAGRTCAAAGATTTTAAAGCAAAGCTAAAAACACTTTTTCKCTTAAAAATGGCTTCACGATTTCAACTTGMCTATTCTGCGCATGATGAGAAAAATTAATGAAGATAGACAGCAAAGCAAGGCTCGACCCTGTGTGAAGCCATACCCATTCATAAATTTGTGAGCCCTACCTTTGAGACATTCCTTGATGAGCGTGGAGAGGCTTTGTAGACGAAGAAAATAAAGATCAATGAGTATGAACAAACCTCTGTTGTTCGCTATTTGTAGACTGGCGTACTGACTCCATATGGTAAGTGGTTCTAGGTATTTTTTCAGGATCCCATCAAGMAGTAGTTAACAGCTTAAGTACGAAATAATTGCCAAATAATGMGTTGATAAGTTAAAAAGCATCTAAATGAGCATATTAATTCGTTATCGAATCTATATTGGAATATAATCATCGAAGCAGGCATTCCAGTATACACCGAGCTCGGGACGCTTTTCATATAATTACAAAAAGTTTCACTTGAATCATTTTAGCTGAAAATATKACTGAAATCATTCATTGAAATATAAGTACATAATAGATACGGCTAAAAGATTCGTCACACAATTCCTTTATATACAAATTGTACAAAGTTGGAATTCATGAAGATTAAGTATTGTCTACTAATCCTTTTCCAAGTATTTACTTGTGGCAGTCTTCAGTTTGTTATTCTCATTGGTCTTTATTTTTTGAATATACACTCATGCATAATTGGAGTAATTTGAGACCGGAAAGGTATTTCATAATTAGCAGGCTTTGGAAAGGAAAGGGGTAAAAAATAAATTATCACCTAATTACAAATGTTGGTTCTWTATGAGGGTTATCGGCCTTCAGCTCGTGGGTATGTGATATATTCTTGGAGGACGCAGCCTGAGGCAAATATCGCATTCCCGGCTCATTATAATTAACTGGAGGACGATAGCTCACTTATTTTTACATAGAAAGGTTATCAGAATTGTCAATTCATTTAATTACCTAATTAATTATCAAAAAATACATTCATTTAGGTTTCGTTTTATATGTTTGAAAATTCTCTAGAGGAGTTGAATAGATAAGCGATGTCTGAGTGATATATTCCTGTTGACTGGTGGGCTAAAGCTTTTAAAAAAATAMAAAAGTGCTAAAGAATTAAGAGACCTTTGTTGYGCGCTAAATCGGTAGMGCTTGTTGCGCTTGTAYTAAACTGTTTAAGGTTAAACCCATTTTGTAATGGATTTTCTCATATTGCAGAGGCAGCTGACTCTGTGARGGACAAAGGGTTTCGCTAAAGGGCTGAGCTTTGATGTTAAACAGGAAGTTTCCGGTATAAAATGCAGTTGGCCAGGCCAAATGCAGCTCATTAGCCAATGAGATACCGAGTAGGGACATCGCCATAGCCTWGGTCTTAAGAAGTTATTGACGCAGTAGTGGACAGAGCGCYAGTTTCTTATTAGCCTGAAGGGTATTCTGGGTGGCGAGAACAGCTCGTTATTTTTGTGTGGTTGCGGATAGCACAATGGTTAGCAGATGTATTTTATCGCATATCGCACATGAGGATGTAAGTCATAGAGCGAGAGTCTCCATT